CTACTAGTAACAAGGGCATCGCTACTAGTAACAAGGGCATTGCTACTCGTAACAAGGGCATTACTACTAGTAGCTAGAAGCGCCAGGATTGGTTTTTGTGGCAGAACCCGTTCAGCCCCCAAACGCTCGGGGAGGCTGATTGACAACAACAGGGTGTTTGGTTTCACGTTCAGTTGGGATTGGAAGCCTATATATATATACATATATATATATATATTATATGTGTGTGATCCTGTATGTTTTGCTGCTCGCTTTTTGCACACGTTGCAAGTTTGGAAGTCGCATTGTCCGCTGCTCAGGCTACCACATATCAGCAATGCCCAAAAATCACCGGATCAGGACTGACAGCAAAGTTGAGTGGCTGAAGCCAGCTAAAGCAGCTCTTGAGGTAGCGGACATTTGTTTGACTCCATCCCATCCATGCTTGGCTGGCCAAGAACTTGAATGGTTCTCAGATAGGAATTCACTTGCCTCAAGAAACATGGAAGGATATGTGTAATAGTAGGTGGCACGGGCGATAGGCCAAGGAGGCTGAGTAAACTGATCAGTGCACCAACAAGTGTCCAAAATAGACAGAGAGGATGCCATCCTGGAGCTGGATTTTTCGCCTCTTAGCTTGACTCTCTTGTGGGTCCCTAGAAGGACTGCCATGAGTTAGTGTCATCCTTTGTAAATGCACAGTTGTGTGAACGAATTGGTTTTGTTACAAAAGGCGCTTGTATGCACCCCAGATGCTTCCCGGACCTCGAAAGCCTTCAAAGGTGTTCTGTCTTTTTTGAACCCCTGCATTGGAATATCAAAGGCCGTGCCTTACTACTTAAGGCGCTGAATCCTCAACAGGCCTTTTGCGACAATGTTTGTTGCGGAAGTCAGGCCTCAAACCACCTTGAATGAAGGCATTGTAGACTGGTGCAGGCGTGCCAGGAGTCCAACTAGTTTGGGGAAATCTCTCTTGCCCGCTCCTGTTGCTCCTGCTGCTATGTTTGCTTCACTAATCACTGTCAAGCCAAGCACCGTTTACCCTTGAAGCATCATGTCTCATTGGTTGCGGATATTTGCGGTATGTTGTGTTGAGCTGGCTCATTGGTTTCTTGAGCTGTGCTTAGGCTTCGCATGGAAATTGAAGCCTCTGTGGCAACCCTTTTCTTGGCAAGCACAAGCACCCCAAGTGGAGAGGATCAAGGTTCATGAAGGACGTGCCTCAGCACCTTACCTGCGCAGAACAGTCCGCAGATGTCAATATTGGTCACCTTTCATTGCCTTGATTGCTTGATTTCTATTACTCTGGGTGGCCAAGCAACAAGTGGGCTGGCCGTGCAGTGAATGGAAAACAGAACATTATGATGTGCCTCACGCACTTTGAATGAGGATAATTGACCAAGTTCTCGCTTGTACAGTTCTGAAGTGCATGGCTGACAAATGACAAAGTGCCTTGAGCTCACACAAGGACGCGACACATCTTGACCGCAGGCCCTAGGTACACCATAGATGTCGGATTCAGCGAGGGCTTAAGCGGACGGTGGCGGGTAGGATTCGTCGGTGTCAGCCGTCGGCGACGAGGAGAGCTGTAGGATCTTGGACGACACTGCACCAGATATCAACGCTGCGACAACGCGTGTATATGCTCATTAATTTGTTGCTTGGTGTTGTCTTAACGTATGTATGTTGTTTTTTCTTTAGACCTGTCGTGGCCTGTCCTTGTTGTGCGCATCTTTTGAAGACGAATCTTGAGTATAGCAGGGTGTTGATCTTGGACGCAACTTAATACTAACAGACTGATGCTACTAACTGCTTGCACAGTGCCCGTTGGCCAACATGATGAGTATATAATAACTTCTAATGATGAATCCGTGGAAAGCATGGGATCAAATTTTGCATGTGTCCTGCCAAATATAGATGTCTTCACGTGTCTTTCATGGCCAGAAGGCGTCATAGCGGCACTTCTTGCTGCCTGGGCAATATTGACCTGGCGTATTTTCGACGTTGGGGAACCCATGGGAGCCCAGAGCCGGCCAGAAGTACAAGTGGAAGAGTCAGCTCGAGTTCAAGTCGTAAAAACCATGTTTGCAAGCAGCTAGCATGAGTACTTGAGTGGTGCCGCGATGGTTGATGGTCTCACACTTCTTTAGCCCTGCTGTTGCCTATCATAAGGGATCTTGGGGCAGCTAGGGTTCTCAAAGTCTAGCTTACTCGCAAGAAGGTGGGAAGGTTGAGGTAGGAGACGGTGACATGCAGTGAAATGATGTGAAATGGCTAAGGATACACGGACTGGCCTGATCGTGGCAGCCCATCACTCAGTTCTGAAGTTTAGCAGGATAGCGCGGCCTAGGTCATGGCAGGTTGTCAGTTTATCAGATTTTTGTGCACAGACCGGCCAGAAAGTCGAAAACAGTTCTTTGTGCCTCGCAAGCTTTGCGGCCAACTTGTTCTATTTGACTGATCCGCTGAGCATGCATCACAGTGCTGCTCTTGGAGTCTGAGGCGATGACAGCAATTGGGGGAACACTGATTGAGGCCCATTGTTTTGCCCAGTTCACTCTGCAAGCTCGATTGCTGAAGAAATAAGGAATCATGTTGTCCGAATCATGGGACACAAGTAGGTTCCTCGAAATGAAGATATAAGCACTGAACAGCATAAACATTGGACGCTTGTTTTGGATCCTGTATGAGCTCAGATCTTTTTGGTCAATGCTCCGTGGTGGGACCTCTACGCATACGCTCAGGCGCCATCGAAGAGAACTTGTTTCGCCCATCCAAAGTGCATCAAATTGTAGCATTGCACTCTTGTTGATCTTCAAGAATAGCTTGAAGATTTCAGATGTGAGTTCAACATAGTTTTGACATACGCTCCGAAATGGTCATGAAACCATGGAATGCTGTTGTGGCTGCCGGCACCTGATCAACCTTTCGGCATCGCCTCTCGCTACTTGTCTCATAGGCTGATTTCTTCGGAGTCGACAGCTGGACCGGCCATGTTTGGAGCCTGCATGTTGGAAGAATGAAAAGGAGGGAGAAAGGGGGTAGCATAAAGGATGCACTGAGTGAGAGAGGAGGGAGTGACAGACAGAGAAGTTAGCTCACAATCTATAGCTAGTCATGCTCCAACGGCGTTGATTTCTAGGTGTGGCCCGCCCTCCCGCATCTATGCACTGCTAAAATGCTCTCGACTTGCTTGGGCTGGCTTAGCGCCATGAAAACCCTGCTAGCACATGCCCAGTGCCAATTCTTACAAAGCGCTGATGCATCTCAACACAGGCTTTTGGGTAAAGCCACATCAACAACATCAGCAACAGCACATACACATACACATACACAAACACAAACACAAACAACAACAAACTGGACGCGACATGCATCGAATGCACCCGGACAATGCGTAAGCGCATCACCCGAATGCACCCGGACAATGCGTAAGCGCACCACCCGGGTTGATGTCGCTCTGGGCGCGACAGGCATTTGAACGAAGCTCAAAAACAGTTCATGTCAACTGCAAGCTTCTACGAAAGGCTTCCGTGCATACTGCAGTACACTTCTTGATTTGTGCGTGTATCGAAACATGAGAACAACTGTGTTTGACCGAAAGGACGGCTTCGAACGAGGTGTCGAACTTTCACACCCCCCCTCAAACACATGTTGTGGTACAGTTGTACTACTCTATCACATTTCATGGATACTGCAGCTTATAGGCCTTTACAGGCGAGCCAAGCTAGGATCACTTCGAGATCCGAATGCACTGCTTGCAAGGCTTCACTGTCCTAGTGCAGTATTGCACAAGTGGATTACCCTGCAGGCATGGACATGTATTGTCCTGCTGGACTTTGTGGATATAAGTCGGGCGTTCAAAATTGAAGCACAGGGTCTGCTCATTGCTACTGAGGCCTTCAGCGAGGCAATCCGGACACAAAGGTCGCTTGACCACATCTTTCTCCTTCATCTTCCTCACCATGCCGCAGGCGGTAGCATGGATCCGCTCGCCAGTTCGGATACAGATCACATAAATTGGCGGCTCAGAGCTCGTCTCATTCGCCGGTGAGGTCGATGGGATCTCTTCTGCCCCTTTGCCACGTCCTGGAGGAGAATGGCTTGGAGGGTGTGGTGATGAGCTCTTCGGAGGCGAACAGCTCGGTGGATGTGGAGAAGCACTTGATGTCGGGATCATGTCCCAATCTCCATTGGATGAGCTCTTTTCTCCATCATCAGCAGCCGTGGCATACCTTTCAATCTTCTTCTTGCCCTCTTCAACCTTCAGGTTGACGCTCGAAGATCCCTTCTTCTCAGCTCCTTTGAATTCTCTCTCGGTCACCTTGTCCTCCGAACCTTTAGCACCTGAGGCTCTGCTCACATTGATCTCGACGTCGACAGGCGAGTCGCTGTCGACATGCACAACAATCTTTGGCGCCATGTCCGCTCGACAAGATGATCAAGTGATCAAAACTATATATACTTATGCATGCCTATCGAATTGTGTCCATCATCGTGGAGATTTCAGTTCGGTATCTATTGGCGCTCAACGCACAACATACCATGGTGGGTGGCAAAGCAAACATGCATGCTCCATTCAAGAACTAAGTCGGGTCAATTGATTCACAATTTTAAACATGTTCATCTCAAGTGTTCCAATCAAAGTTCAAAGAATCTATTTAAACACTGGATTGAATTCAAAACTCTATCACGTGATTCATGTCAGTTCGCAGCCACTGACGCACGGGTCTTGCTCAAGAACCAAGAAGCGAACTCGGCGGCAAGCATTCGAGGATATCGAGCGAGATCGTGCAGGTGCTGACCATTCAAAGACTGGTGCTTTGAACATGTGCAAACCTTGGGCTGACACATCTTGATGTTGCAACAAACACGGAACATGTGCCTTGCAGGCACCTCGAGCTCAATCTGATACATACACCACTACATACACCTGGGAAACACCTCAACCCATCTCAACTCCAGATCCTGGCAGACCGTCTGAACCAGGGTGGATTTCCAGTACGTCGAGTGGCTCGAAAGCTCCAAGCACCGCAGGTGGCAGACACTCATGACACTTTTGCACTCGTTCAGCAGGTGTGCAAACTCGCGAAAATGAGTCTCCTGCAGCTCAAATCGTCTTGGCGGGGCGATCAGGTTAAGCACTGGACTTCCTCCTGTACATGGTGGACTGCTCCAACACAAAACCAAAACATCATCAAAAATCGAACACAACCAATCAGTCAGGATGTTCTTGATGACCTGAAGCTTACATTCCTTGGTGACAGGGATGATGCCTAGCTTTCGAAACTCATGCAAACCACAAAGTTGGGAAAAACCGGCATCTCGGGTTGTGAAGAGGTCAACTAGGACATGTGACACCTGACCCTTCCCGATTTGCGACTTGAGGCGCTCTAAGCTCTGGCGAAAATCATGGATGGCCTTACTATCAGGCTCATTCACAGAAACACTGAGGCTGGGCGTTCCCTCGTGAGATTGTTCGTCAATCTCTTCATGACTGGATCCATGGGATGGCTGTACGTCAGCCGGGCTAGATGCGATGGCATCAACATCAACTCTCGGTTGTGGTACCTTAGACTTTCTTCTTTGACTCAAACTGCCAAGATTCGGGGGCTGTTCGTTCAGTTATCCCAATCTGGCATCGATGAAACTCTGTGGCTTCACGATTCAAAATCTTTGTCAGCAGGTCGGCGACACAAAGCTTTCCTGAAATCCATCGAAGAACCAAGTGGCCGCTCTCAACAAGAGACTGGATGAAACAGGTGGCCAATGACATGTGTCTCACTCTCCTAGAAAGCCCTTGGTTTTGAAGTGCTGCCAAACACGATTGGGAATCCGAAAACACAATGATTGGGTATGTTTCTCGTACTGCCAATCTGATCAAATGCAATGTCTTTCTCATGGAATCGTGCCAACTCGCTTGGATCAGCAAAATTCTCCAAAAACTCAACGAGGTGGCGCAGTCCAATGCATTCTTGGGAAATCTGACATACTGCAATCACTTCGGATTCACATGACGAAAGCGTTATGCAATGTTGCACGCGGCTGTATCCCTTGATTACACTCCCCTTCCAATAGATCACACCTCCGCTGATCGATCTCCATTGCTCTGCATCGGAACTTCCCCAAGATGCATCCGAAACACCAGTGATGCCGTCATAGAATGAAATGGAAGTGCTGTTGGCTGGGTACTCTTGATACAAATGAGCAAC